ACAAATATAGTTGAGGTCTGAAGACCTAGATATGTTGAAAATAGCTTTTTCTCCAAGTCATTTAGAACTTAAGGCTCCCTGCCCTGCTATATCAAATGACCCAGCTTGAGAATAAGATGGGTGTATGTGCACAACAGTGTGGGGTATTGGGAGAACGAGGGGAAGGGACTGGTGAGCTATCTATACAAGGAAAACTCAATGTCTTCTGAATCTGATCTATTTAAACTCTCCCATTTCTCAGGACCCTCGCAAAGCCCTCGTGTCTCTCTTTTTACAGTAAATAATGTTTTCCTCTCTTGCCTTCATGAGGTAGTTCCTTTTAAATCAAAGATTTTTCTGAAAGATAAATATGAAAGTGTTCTTGACAAGGAAAATGCTTAAGTAATTATATTTTTTAAAATGACAAAGCTTTTTTTGGTATTTCTTAGGAAGCTACAAATCTCAATCAATTGACCAAAAAATAGATGTTTTAGACATTATCTTCTTTAAAGTCTATCTAGAAGTAAAGCAAATGGAGGGGGCCAAGGGTGTACCACTTTTTAAACTAAAATTTTGGAATACAATAAACTGATATAATAAAAGAAGAGGGGGTTTGAGGACAATTTCCTTATGCAAGTGGACGATGCTTTCCCAGAAGGCATGGATTATTACATGAGCATCTCAGAGCCAGGTGAAGGAGAGCACTCTATAAATTACTAGTCAAGGAGACTCTTGAGGACCCCAGAGCCACACAGTGGGCAGCAGCAGTTAATGTAAGGACTCACAGGTCGTTACAATGCTGAGAAGAAGTGACTGTGAGTGCTTGGGACGTCAGGGAAAATGGGCTGGAAAGACAATATGAGCCTAAAGAATGGGAGGAGTCCTGTGAAATCCTGTCTCCTGGACAGGGCAAGGCCGTTGTACTCACAAGCTCATCACAGCTACGGTTATGTGACAAGTATGACCCAAAATTGAGTCAGCGAGATCAGTCAATAGTCCAGCTGGCAGGGGGTTGGGAATGATTAAGGTACACTGTTGAGAGGCATTCAGTGCAAGTAAGGGGGGAGTTGGGGTAAATATGATCAAGATATATAAGGTATACATGTATAGTATTATTAAAGAATAAATAAAAGACATTCCTAAGAGTACAATAAGCTAATGAAATCCCCCTAGGAGTCATGCAGTAGAGAGTAGGCAGCCAGACATGTCTGGCTACACCTTCTGCTGAGCACAGAGTTGCATCTCCCCTTAGTTCTTTCAGACTAGGCCACTACTTTCACAAGAAAAAGTACAGAGGAAGTGAATGCCATTAGAAGAATGGCGTTCTGGTGTAGGAGGTCCTTCTGTATTTGTGTTGCTTTTATTGGTTATTAAAGAAACTGCCTTGGCCTAGTTGATAGGGCAGAACTCAGATAGGTGGGGAGGACAGAACAGAATGTTGGGAAGAAGAGCCGAGTCAGGCAGACACCATGAATCTCCGGCCTGAGATGGGTGTATGTTAGAATCTTGCCAATAAGCCACAGTTATGTGGTGATATACAGATTTAATAGAAATGGGTTAATCAAGATGTGAGAGTTAGCCAATAAGAGGCTAGAGCTAATGGTTCGGGCAGTAATTTAATTAATACAATTCCTGTGTGGTTATTTCGGGGGTTAAGCTAGTCGGGCTGCGGGACATAACCCGCTTCTCCTTACTACAATGTTCTTCTCAGAAGAAGGTCTGAGCATTAAGAGAAAGGATGCTTCCATTGCCTATTTCTAGTTTGTCCTTGCTGAGGTGGGATAGAAAGGATGGGAGAAATTAAGAAGTTATGAGAGAAAGAAAGAGGCTATGATTCAATCTGCTTGAGGTCTCTCATGGCTGAAGGCCAACAATTTCAACACAACTGACTTAATCACCTAAAGTGTCTATATACCCCTGTCTGAGAAAAATCTCAAAATTCAAATCATGAGCCATATTCATGATAAAAAAATATATGTGTTCACTGAAGAGATGGCTCTGTCGATGAAATCCTTACCATGGTAGCATTGAGAGTGGGTAAAACCGTTACCATGTTAGTATGGAGACCTAAGTTCTTCTGACCCACAGGAAGACAAGATGTAATCAGACAGGGATGGAATTGCAGATACAACTACAGCCTGCCATAATCACTTTATTCTCTGCTAAGGGGATATTCAGATTTAAATAAAACCCATTCTCAGTCTCCTAATAGCTCATAATTCCAAAAGCTTTTATTCTTTAATGTACACATAGAATAGGGAATTCTAAAAATCCTTGAACATTTAAAACAAATTCTTAGAGCTCTAGGTGCATGAAAGTGAACTATCATTTGGTTAAAATATTAAGGTAATATTTATAGGTGTGCTTGAAGTCAGTACTTTAGCAAAACAACTCAAAAGGGGGCAGTAGGAAAAAACTCTAGGTTAAAGTAAAGAGAAACTAGCTTTTAAACTGTTAGAGTATTCATAAATGTTAAAATCTCCAAGAGGAGTTGTCCATAGAACTCTTAATGAAGTTGTATGGGGGATGACTAGAAAGACGGGGGGCATTAAAGGATGTGGGGGAACGAACAATCATACTGCAATCCCGTGGAAGTCTCTCCCTAGCAGACAGGTAGGAATTCTAGCACAATTAACTTTTGCTGTGGAGCCTGCTGCCCACAGAGACAATCTTCCTTTTACATGGAGACGTTTTTCAAGTAAGAATATAAAATGTTCGTTTAACCACACTGAAGCCCTGAGTGTGTCCGCCTTTTGAATATGGCCAATACTCCTTTAAAAACTAAGATCTTACTGAGAATCTCAGAGACAAGAATGTCAGGTCCATTTACAGTCAAGGAATTTCTGAACTATCCTGTACAACCAAATCTGAGCACAGCACCTCCAAAACAATATGCATGACTATGGTAAAAACATGTAGGAGGAATTCTCTCTTGAGGTGCCAGCACCTACATGGGGATGCTTACTATCCTTTTAAGCAACTCTATTAGCTTCGAAGATTAAATCTATTTTAATAAACTCCAACTACGCTCATAACAACTGGTCTGGACATTCTTCCAACAGCGAAGTCTTGTATCTAGGCTTCCCCCGAGCAGCAGTCTCTGGAAAGAATTCTCGGGGTGTAACACAAGCTGTGTCTCTGGCCCCACCTACTCCCTCTTCACAGTTTGATCAAGGTGTCATTTTCCAGTAGGTAGCATAAAGACAAGGCTTTCATAGAAAAATTAAACTGAGAAATTGGAATCGAAATATACTATCTACAGAAATCAAACTTTACTTTCGAAGTATATCGCAGAAATATCCCCCTGCCCGTTATTTGGTATGACTTCAGCAGAGACATGCATTTTTACACAGATGTTTTGCAGCTATCGGGGACTATGCTCAATTAAGGATCTCTTTGTAAAGCCTGCCACCACTCCCCTAATGCATCACTAATAACTAATAATTGAAGAAGGTGCACGTGAAAGAGTAAACAAAACTGTATCAATAGTAGATCACAAAATCTGTTCACTAAAAATTATAGACCTGAATTCAGCACTGACACTAACCAGGCTAGTTTCAGATTTTATAACTTTATTTCCATAAAATGGTCATTGGAATAATAACACTTGCACTGTCTCGCCAAATTCTTGAAAAATTCAAAGGCGACTTTCTAAACCAGAGGTGAGGAGCTTGGGGGAACGGCATGATCTTAGCGATCAAGTGTTCCTTCATTCATTTTCCATTTTCTAGCAATGGAGAGGAGAGCCAAGCAGGGGAGCGTACAGTAAAAATGCTAGCTATATTAGAATTTGTTCCATATATTTACATAAAGGTGTTAAAAAAAACTCTGTGTTACTATGATTCTAATTTGAGTTACAATTATTTCTCTCACAATTTTTTTTTTACGGGCAATTTGGGCAAAATAATTACATTTCACTTATGAAATTACATTTCACATAGTCAGAGCTCATGACTATGTAGGAAGAGGCGGCAGTCAAATGTTTAATCATCAGCCTGGAATGGGCACGGAAGGTCCTAATAGACACCAGTCACTCGACCTGGGACAAATGCTCACACGCTAGCACAGCGCTCTGACGTCAGCATGTGGGAGACACAAGCAGGTGGATCTTGTGAGTGTGGGGGCAGCCTGGGCTACAGAATACATTCTAAACTAGACAAGGTGACACAGTAAGCTCTGTTAAAAAAAAACAAAACAAAACTGGTGAACAAAAACTTGTACAGACACACTGCCAAGTAGCAGCCAAGAATGATTTCTGGCTTATGAACCTGGTAGAACACTCATCCCTACTAGTCTCTGGCTCCTGGCCTTGTCCATACTGTTGCCTGAAGAAATTCTTTCATTCAGAATCTTTGCTTTAATGAGCTGTATTTTGATACCCATGAGGCAACAGGTTCAACTCATTGACTCTTGAGAATCCCTTATCTACAGCCCTTCGTAGCTCTGTTAGCAATCTGTCATCCTGCTCTTAAAACCATGGCGTTATGGTCACATCTGCAGCTGCTAAGCCGAGGGGACTGTGGCTTACCTTCTCCCCTTCCTCTGAACCAGTCTTCCTAGTTAATTTTTCATGGAACTCTCAAAACCTGCACATTCTACTGTCCTGTTTTTTTTTTTTTTTTTAATGTCACATAGTATGTTCTAAACAGCAGGAGGAAAAGACCCATAAAACCCAGACAATAAAGCACATGACACGGAGTATTTGGTAAATTAAAGCTAGAATGGTAAGAAAATACTTAACATGACAGAACTATGCATCTAGTTCATTCTTTCATCTAGTGCCACTAAAATGGGTATTTAAAACTAAAACAATGAGCAAAATTTCACAGTTCTTTATGAATAAAACGCTTCTTTTCAAGCCGCTGAAGGGTGGCTTATACCATCTCCCTATTACCTAGGTTCGGCAGTGTAACATTTGTAGTGCGTTGTCAATTGTTTTTATACGAGTAGAAATCAACTGTAAATGGCGAAGGAACCTTGCTTCCCTGGATCTGGAGCAGTTGCGGCTATAGCACGCTTACCTCCACGAGCCTGCCTGTGTGCTCATGAAATATCGCAGCATATTCTTTGATTTCCTTTTCTCGCCCGTGCTTAGCAGCTTCAATGAGAACCAGGAGCGGGACTGTCGTGTCCAGGAAAGAATCGGATATGTGATCTATAATCGCCTTGCGGAGCTGAGAAGAGGAAGAAAGGAATTCCTTTTATTTCCCAGAGAAAGTTTATGTTATTTTTCTGGTCTTATGATCTCGGTGGTTCTAAAGTTCATTTTACACATTTCCTAAGCAATCCTTACAATCATAATATGTGGTACAGTGTGTGAACATCATTTACAAGCAAAATAAACAGAATGTTTAGAATAAAAAAAAATCAGGCAGCAGTAATTTCCTTGCTCCCAAAAGCCATTCATTATTATTATCATTATTATTATATTTAGCCCATGACTCAAATTATAAGTGGTAATTAAATATTCTTTCCTCTAAGAAATTACATGATTGCAATGTTTAACCTGTGCACAAATAAAATACACATACTGTATTTTAATAATTAGAAATTATAAACTACTTACTAACTTATCGGAAGAATTGATGATACATTTGATTATCTAAATTGTAGACTTCATGGTGATTTAACCAAGTGAGATCACAAATTGCACCAGATAATAACAGATTAATAGAGCAAGAAGACAAATAAATGAGTTTGGTGTCCCACTTTCTCCATTTGCATTAACTGTTCTTGCCCTCACACCTTAAATTATTAAACAACTGTAACATTCTGACACAATGAGTTCTTTTAAATTAAATAACATGGAAGCTTCTACATGACTTCAGATAATTGCTGTACTCTGCAGAGATTTTCTGAAATTTAAAAATGACGCTGAAAATGAATTTATTGTGTCTCTAATTATTGAAACTACAGGGATTACAATATACTGATATTGGACTCTAATAAATAACATCAATTTTTATGAATGAGGCATATGATTTTTGGATCAACGTGTTTGTTTAGTTTAGTAACTTCTCTCTATGAATAAAATGATAAAGATCAGAATAACATCTTGCAATTTGACTTCTGTGAGGGTTATATTTTAGGGTATTTTAAAAACCAGTTGACAGATTAGTTTTAAATTGTGTAAGAATTTTTACTGTTATAATTCCCAGGTCCAAAATGATAGAGCTTCATTTGTACAAAGCACTATCTTGCTAGGAAAATAGCTCAGTGGCAGAGCACTTGCCTTCCACGTGTGAGGTCTTAGGTTCAATTCCCAGTGCTTCAAAAAGAAAAAAGAAAAAAAGTGCTGTCTTCTTATAACAATTATAGGATGATAAATCTGCACAGGACGGGCTATCAGCTTCCTGAAGGAAAGCACCTCCACTCATATTGATATAGCTAGCTGAGAAGCGTTATGAAATTTTCTAGCTCCAAGTTACACCATAGACTGCAGAAAGCTCCTTAGTGAAGCTTTCTGCTCACTATGATGTGGGTTAAGCAACTAATGGCAACAAATTAGTATTTATTAGACACTCATGACAGGGTGAAGGAGGTGTGAGGTCACAAGGCAAGGTGAGGACCATCAATGAGTGGGCAGTATGTTTGCAGTCAAGGGCACAGGCGAGGGTTGTAGTTGCGAAGTACATGCTGTGTGTATTTCGGAAACAGAGAGACGATGTGTTGAGGATCTCAAGAGCAGAGCAGAGTTTGTAGGGACACCCCTCTACCCCGTTCTTATCTGGAACTTGGATGTTAATTTGGATTCGAGAAATATACTTCTAGAGTTCATCTACGGGGGTCATAACATGGGAGTTAGCTCAAGCACATGATATAGCTAGAACCTTGATGATAGACACATAGTGAGGAGACATTCAAGAGCACAGCTGGAAACACCACCATAGTAGACAGGAAGAGCAGGACTTAAAGGGGCCGAGAGAATGGCTGGAAATCCAGAGTACTAACTACAAGAACTAACTCAAAAGACAAACTTCAAGTATATCTCATTGTCATGACTCTCCAAAAATGTGCATCCCATGAAACAGTTATCATTACCATCCCTGCGGACTGTTTTAGATACTTGACTCCAGCCAATGAAACAAGTGTTTCTGAACAGCATTTCAAGAGCTAGGTATTCAGAGAAAGGTGAAGAGGGAAATGTATGGACATATGTAAGCTAACAGAGAAATGTGAGGCATTAAACATTATAACAAAGGGAAAGCAGGATATATAACATAAATATATAGGGAGTGCATACATATATATAAACTTTAAAAGAATTGAACTTATAAAACAGATTTGTTTATAGAATTTGATCTCTAAGAAGGTTCTTGGTGAGCACAGTAACTGCAAGTTTTGTACAAAATTGGATGTAGAAATCCTATCACTATTTCTTCAAGAGTGATTGGGAAACAAGAAAGCAGGGACACTGGGTAGAAACTCCAATTTCTAGTAATTTGGCTGTGAGAGTCAGAGGCGAGAGTTAATATTAATTAACTTGAAATAATTGCATGTTTAAAAACAGACTACTTTTCACCAACATAGATGAGGCAGTCCCTATTTACAACTAAACTGAAACTATCTCATCACCCTCCTATGATTTTTCAAATGATATAGTTTTGTTTTCCATAAAACCAAGAGACAGAGACTGCTGTCTCACAGTGTAAGATGTGCTCTCTTTGATCTCTTGACAGAAGGAATTTGTCAGAAACTCGTGACTTGTAGAATGAAGCCTTTAAGAACAAGCGGTATTTTCCTTCAGAAAGCATTTTAATCCAGGAAAATAACAAGCTGCCTAGCTAAACACAGTTCTGCTAGAAGCCTCTGCCTGACTTGCTGAATGCAAACGCTTAATCCCTCTACTCACAACCATAGATAAAGCTGACTTGAGAGGCCTTCAGGACTGCACTGCATATGCTCTAGATAAGCACTGCACCCTCTATATCAGTCTGCACTGCACATCCTCTAGATCAGTCTGCACTGCACACCCTCTAGATCAGGCTGCACTGCATACCCTCTAGATCAGTCTGCACTGCATGCCCTCTAGATCAGTACTGCACTGCATGCCCTCTAGATCAGTACTGCACTGCATGCCCTCTAGATCAGTACTGCACTGCATGCCCTCTAGATCAGTCTGCACTGCATACCCTCTAGATCAGTCTGCACTGCATACCCTCTAGATCAGTACTGCAGGGCACATCCTCTAGATCAGTCTGCACTGCACACCCTCTGGATCAGTCTGCAATTTCACCTCTTGTTATAGCCTTTGATACTATGTACTCTGAAGACATCCCATGCTTTTTTTTTTTTTTTTGTCATTCTGCCTCAGCACTTACTCTATCTAAGCCTCTGCAAGGTTCTTAATGGAAGCACAACTGCAGCTTGCGATGTCTAGAGAGCCCACATCCCCGGAACAACCATAAACAGTGGCAAGAGCTACTAGATATGGCTTCCACCATAGGCCTGACAACCTGAGGAGAACTTCTGATTCGCAGCAGTCCTCAAGCCCCTATCTCCTACCTGCAGCCTCGATAGCATACCCTCTCTCTTCTGGCTTGCTTGGCATTTACCAAAAAATTATATTTTGGAACTCCCTCCCAGTGAAACTCTCTGCACCAAAGGCCTGTGCTAAGTGTCTGCTCCCATGAACAAGATCCAATTTAAACCCATCCTCTATTGGTCATGCGTGGTCATTCCCTTCTCACAGGTTCCAAGTCTCTGTGCACCGTTCTTTGCAGATCAAACTCTGCCACTTCTGTTTTGCACATCACTGAATATAACTCTGTCAGGTCCTACATTTTGTTGACCATGAAAATGGGATTATTATGGGATAAGACAAGCCAGGTGTCTGGGGAACAAATGTAGAAAGTCTAGGATGTGCTGTTAGGCAACCTCCTTCATTTGTCTTGGCATATTCCCAGGAGACAGTCTCTTTACAGCTTGTTTATATATCTATTAATTATATAGCCTGTAGCTTATTTATTTTCATACTGTCTTCCTTTCCAGGGGCTTTCTATATTTCTTTCACTTGGATGACATAAAAGAAAGTTCTAAAGAAGACCCTAAGATGTGAAGCCATAGTGCTAAAATTTGAAGTTGGTGGGAAGCCGACAGGAGTTGTGGGGTATGAATTATCAGTAAATACTTGCTTGTGGTCAAGCATGAATGATGTCAGAGCAAAGCCAAACCGAGGGGCTTTCTGTCTTTTCTCGCTGGAGCTTAATAAAAGGCTTTGAGGCATCAATTTTTTTTTACTTCCTGCTGATATAAGTGGTTTAGTATCTCAAATAAAATAATGTATTTCTCTGCAATTGAAACACAAAAGTGAAAGCCCCATGTGGAAACTGTAAGGCAGCCTACCATAGTTACCAAAGGAGGGAGAAGGATACACTGGGAGGGGGAGATGAGCGCAGAGCAAAGAGAGCCTTTCAGAAAACATGCCTCCTTCAAAGTCAGAAAATCTCTAGTTGTGTATACACGTGACATTTTAATGTTAAGTAAGCGAATGAAATCATTTGCAAAACTGGACTGATCAATTAGGAGTAAATCAAGCAACAACTCAGCGTCTTGTCACCATAACAAGTTTGTGGGATGTGGTCTCCTGGGAATTTAATAAGCCATGATGACGACTACAAGAGCTGACTATGGCTTTCCAAATGGTTCACTTGAGCTGCCAATGTGGGAAGCAAAGATGCCTTAAGCCAGGCAATCAAACAGCAGAATTATGTGCTTCTTTTGTCTGCTGTTGTCAGAATTGTGTTTTAATTGATAGAGTTCACCATTACTTTAGCATCTATGAACTGCAATGCCTTTTTTAGTAATATATACAAGTGAGACTTTTAACCCACCTTTAGTAAAATTAAGTATGCTTCATTCTTCACAAGACAGCAGACTTGTGACAGTAGAAGATATTTGAATGTCTTGATTTTTAATGAAGCACATGTATGTAAAAACATTCTTTTTTAATTGGGAGTTCCAGTAGATAATCCTCAAGTAAATAACTGGAGGCCAGGTGAAGGGATAAAGAAAAGTGAATCTTTGAAAAATGTGTAAAATAAAGACTGGAGAAAAAAATGGATGGCAGATAAATCAGTGCATTTGTTTCTGGGGCTTTTGAAAAATCTGCAAGTCATTTTCCTTGCCCCCTGGTGTGGTGATTACACACAGAGGGTTTAATTGTCCCTGGGATGGAATCATGACTCTACCAAGGAAACCTTAGCAAATTGATAGACATAAGAACTGATATAATACTATAACAGTGTTTCTTATTTCAAGGATGAAATCAACAACTCAAAGAATACACTCATTTGAGAGCACTGAAAATATTCAGCAAATGGGAGATTTGATCGTAATTATCATTATAAAGGTTTACAATCCCCAGGGAAGAAAATCCTCCTGAAGAGAACAAAACCAAACATGGGCAGAGAAGGAATGGGTGCTGTAAAAGAAGCTCGTGTGTTTTTAAGAGCGCCCAGAAAATAATAATGACTCCTGCTGAAGAACACAGCTAAAGTTCACTGGAAGGAGAAGCATCCATACTATTTTGGAACTCGGGTGACCTAAGATGAGACAGAGAAGGACAGGAAGCGGGGGGGGGGGGGGAACAGAGGATGCCAAGAGCATTCTATCTGTATGCTCAACATGATGAGCCTGCAATTGCATGCTGAACGAGGAGATGGCCTTTTACTGAGAAGTTAGTAGATCCTTCTATCAGAGGTGGGTGAGTATATAGCTCTGGAGAGGACCAACTAAAGAGATTAAACAAAAACCCTAAAGAATAAAAATGCTGTGATCAATTCACAGAGAAGTGAGAACACCATGCCAAGGTCTTTGACTCCATCCCTAATAAATTGTGTGAGAAAGTTACGGAACAAGAAAGGTGAAACAGAAACCAACTGTGTCATGTGCTGAAACCTTCCATCTTCATGGTCCACAATGTATGACAGCTACTCTTTAGACAATCCTAGGAAATGTATTGCTGCTCTGACAGACTCAATCATTCTCCGGTCTAAAGCGAAGGCATTTCTGTTACTGATGAAAAGTAACGGTTATAAAATGGATAAGAATGGATGAGCCAAAAAGAGAGGTTCTTAGGACATTTTACTCAAAATAAAATCAGTTCTAGAACAAGAGATGATCATTAGATATTTCAAAGACAGTTTAAGAGCGGGGCTTTGTTTTGTGAGGAAGGAGCATATGTAAGGCGCTTAGAATAAGTTCTTCCATGTTGAAAGAATAAAAAGACATAGAGATTACTCATTTTGCTGCTTCGTTTTTTTTGTTTGTTTGTTTGTTTGTTTTTGTTTTTTTTTTTGTTTTTTTTTTGAGAAATGGTGTCATGCACCCCAGGCTGGCTTTAAACTCGATTAGAGGAGAAGGTAATCTTGTCCTTGTGTCCATTCAGTTTCTTTATGCTGGGTGCTGATTTGACAGAGAAGTTCCACCATGCCTAGTTCATGAGGTGTTAGGGATCGATGGCAGAGCTGCAAGCATGCCAAGTAACATTCCCAAACCCAGACTATCTGCTCAAACTATATACCCAAAGTACAGACTCCACGATAGGAAATGAAGTCATTTTGGGTGTGGGGAAAGAGTGGTTGGATAATGAGAATCACAACAACTGAGCATAGCCTTGAAGATCACAGGTGTCTCCAAAGGGTACACTTCCTTCCACCTCTTCACACGCATGTGCAGGTTCTCAAAATGAGAAAGCACTCCTGCGTGGTCCTTCATTTAGAATGAATTCCATGGCTGCATTTCACCTGTACAGTGAAGAAGGAGCCATATTCTTCTAACTTGGATCTCAACTCCCAACCTGAGCTGTGGGGTGGTGGTTGGTTGGCTGCCACCATCACAAATGAAGACCAATAGGTAAGAGGCCTGTTGATCCCCAGCAGTGGCTCCCTGGGATCACAGTAGGCCTTATTTGTGGTGCTTTGTGCTAGAAAAAACTAAACTGAAACAAAAGTGAGGTTGCTCTGTGGATCCCTAGAGCACAGCTGCTCTCTGCAAACTGAAATGGCCACGAGAAAGAATGAGCCACCGTGGTATGACAGTCTGGATCTCGCCAAGGATGGTGAGGGGACAAACCATGCGTGACTGCAAAATAAAATACAGGACACCTGGGAATATTTGAATCTGAAGTCAACACACTTTTTAAAATATGAATGTCCCATGCCACATTTGGAACATAATTATGTTAGGGCATATTTGTTGCTAACCTAAAATTCAAGCTTAACTGGGCATGTTAAACCTGATTTGCTAAATCTTCTAGCTCAATATGTAAGAAATTGCTTTTTCTGAAGTCTTTGAGGAAAATAATAACTGTAAAGGTTGGGGAGGTATGAATATAGATTAGCATTTTATACATAGATTTGCTGGTGGCAAACTAGATGGAAGAGATGGGGACATGAAATACCGTGGTTGACAGACATAGACGTAGTTCTTCTGCACCCTAAGAAGAGCAGCAGGGGTGGGAATCCTGAAGAGGGGATTGTGGGGAAGGGAATGGTTGAGCTGGTTTACTAAGCATACAGAAAGATCTGACTTCAAACCTAATACCTCAGGGAAAAGAAATACCTGCAACCCCAGCCCTTGCCACTTGGGAGATCAGAAGTTCGAGGCCAGCTTGGGATACAGGAGACTCTGTATCAAGATGGGAGTGGGAAGAAATGATTGGGAAGAAAGAAAATGAAAATCATATAAGGAAGAGGAAGGCCAACTCTGAGGGCTCAAGTGTCTGGGCCCTTGTCTAGGTCCTGACTCAATGCCCCTTGCACATTAGGCCCTAACCACAGCGTCTGGCTTTCTCACCAGTGTCCCAAAGGGGCTGTGCTGGTACACTCCTTTGACTCTTACGTCCCAAGATTCTAAGTGCTAGCAGCCAAAGAAAATTTACATCAATGTCCTAACACTGAGAAACCATCATTTCCACAGAATTTAAAATTCTGCTGCAAAACAACCTCACTATCTGGGAATCCTTATTAATCTGTACATAGATCTACTTCTGAATTAAAATATGGCCCAATTCTTCCCATTTAACTAGGATAATATATAGCATTAAAAGCTACTGGTTAAAAGCCTTTTTCCTTGCTTTTATGATTTAATGGTGACAATGTTATAGTTGTCCTTGGGGGGGGGGGGGAATATCTGGCAATTAACAATGTAAAGGATTAGGAAGCAAAAGGCCTTGGAAATTGACTATGTTTGGAGGGAAATTGTGTCATAACTCTGTGTTTCTCAGCTGCTTAGTAAAATCCTTTCCGGGCTTCTGATCCTGGTGACTAACAACCAAAAAAGTGTCTCCGAAGAAACTCCTTTCTGAAGCAGCCATAAACCGGGAAGAGGAAGAAGTGAACATGCTGGGCTGTGAGATGCTCTCCGCCTTAGGACGAGAAAGTCAGTGTGAACTTGTCTTAGCAACTGCTCCTAAGGAAAGTCAGGACCAAAGAAACTTGGGAAGGACAGGGTTGGTCAGGTTTACACTTCCTCATCACTGTTCAACAATGAAGGAAGTCAGGACAGGAATGCAAACAAGGCAGGAACCTGGAGGCAGGAGCTGATGCAGAGGCCATGGAAGGGTACTGCTTACTGACTTGCTCAGCCTGTTTATTTTTATTGAACTCAGGACTCCCAGCCTAGGAATGGCACCACCCAAAATGGACTGGACCCTCCCTCACTGATCATTAATTAAGAAAAGGCCCTACAGGCTTGACCCCAACCCAATATTCTGGAGGCATTTCCTTAATAGATGATCTCTCCTCTCAGATACCGCCTACTGGGGTCAAGCTGTCATTCAAAGCAGCACAGTACTGTCATGAAGTTGGTTTACCAGCATCTCTAAACGTGTAGTGTGCCAGATAAACAAATATATTGATTTTTTATCTTATGTGGAAGCAGATGTGTGTATATGTGTACATGCTCATTTGTGCACAGGTGTGTGTATGTGCTACACGTGTATGTGAGGTCAGAAGACAACTTCAGGTGTCATTAATGAGGATCCATACACCTTTGCATTGTGATAGGGCTTTCCACTATGAGGACCTCACCAAGAAGTCTGAGCTAGGCAGAGAGGCCCAGGAATCCATTTGTCTCCATCACCCGAGTCCTTGGATGATGAGCCTGTCCCACACCACACCTGGCCTTTTCCCAAGAGGGTGGTGGGGCTTGAACTCAGGTGCTCTTGCTTGTGAGGCAAACACCTTACCAACTAGGCCACCTCTCTAGTGCAGCAATCTGCGTTCACTTCCTACCCAAAGCCCTACTTTACGTTGTTAATTGCATTTCATAGAAGCTCTGAGCGATGAAATCTATGCCTCCTGAACTCACATCTGATGAGGACAGAGCCAAGATTCCATTGCAATTCTGCATGCCATTAGGGCACATACTCCTTTCTCTGTCTTCTGTTTGCCACAATACATTCGAGGCATGTAAATGTGGAAAGTATAAGCTTGCTTTTGGGCTTCCCATCCCATTATTCTCAAAGACCAAAAACAACAAGCAGGACAGCCATGAGTGAGAGCCTCTTTCCCGGCTCATCCCTGCCCCGTGCCTCTCTTGGCTCTCACCTGCCGGCGGAGGTCCCTTGTCTTCTTGCTCATGTTGTCTATGGCGGCGTTGAGGGCATTACTCTTTTCTGTTTTTCCAGTCTGCAAGGAAGCAAAACACTGACATAAGCCGATGCTACCAAATTACTCTTTATCACTTAGCAATTTGCTTTCGAAATTTCCTGAAAATAACAGCTTGAAAATTCAAGAATAGTTTTCAAAACTGCTATGACAGTGCTGATGACTCATGAGCCCTTCACTGAAACGCTAAGTAGCACGGCGATTGAAGCGCGCATTATTTTCTCCTTTAAGCGTCTGTAATATTCCTGATACAGAGGTTGATCGGATTCAGTGTGGCAGCAGGCAGAGCATTGTCTTGACAAAACTCTGATCTTCATTCTTAACAAGTCAGCTCCTTAACCGCTAAGCATGCAATTAGCTTAAAAGCATTAGATGCCCGATTTGTCAACTTCCGTGGGAGTTTCTGAAGTCATCTCCTTGGTGTATTGTGTAAGTTATGCAGAGCCATATTGGAGTTTTGCTAAACACTAAATAAAATATGCAGTGCAAATTCATACAATTTGCAAAAGTTGACCACAATTTTAGCTGACAATATTCCAAGAACAAATTGTTTTAGGTGAGAACTGGATGCTGCTTTTGGCTCCTTAATATAATTTGTGCAACACGTTTTCATTCTGTAAGCAGAACAGTCCTCTCCGTTACATCCTTTAACCTAAGCCTTGGACTTCTCAACACACAGACAGTCACCTTGGTTGACATTTTCTACATATTCTTGTTGTGGGAGACAACTGGGTTGAGTCTAATCCTACATTCTCAGGGATAGCTCCTAGCAAAGAAATTGGAAAAAATCATTACGGGTCTCACCTCTAGGAAAATTGCTGCTGCTTTTAAATTAATAAACTGCAAAGGGTTCTGAGAGGAGACCTTGAAAATCAGCAGCTGCTCACTGAGCTTCCCGAATGGAGTCCCTGAAAAGAGACCCTGTAGCACAGCAGGGACAAGGCAGTACATCCGTCACTCCCTCCCTAGGCAAACCTCAGAAAAACCGACGCCTTCAAATGGAACCATGTCTTAATAACAACAACAAAATCAAGATCATCTGCTGTATTCAATAGATGTACCTGGCTCTCCTGCCATCTTCTCAGACACTACTCTCTGAAGGGCCGCATTCCCAAGGCTTGCTATGTCTTTTCCCAGGTCTTACACATGGACACCTGTTAAAAACCCTTGGTGTTCCTCAATGGTTTCACAAGAAGGTCCTTCAGTGCATTATATCCCTCAAAACAATTCTCCAATGATCACAAGTGAGCTCTTCCTGCTCATTGATTCACTGGCATTTTCCAACAGGCCCCCTTTCATCTCTGTGCCTCCACAGCACCCTTACAATAATTACTTGCAAGGGAGTTATTGAACAGGTTTGATGACTATACATAAATTAGCAACTTCATTCAAAGTGCAACACGGTTTAATTAGGGCTCCATAACAAGCCAGAAAGGTAATGATGAACTTGGAGTTTAGCACTCAGCCCACTCGGCAATAGCTGCAATCCTCTTAAGCACAGTTACACATAGATTTTTCTCAGCATCAGATGTGAAAAAAGCGGCCATCACTTAGGAGCATGCAATACACTGCAGGATACTTATCCTTGGGGATATATCTACTAGGTTCTACTCATAGACATGAATAGTGCCTAAGGAGCAGCAGCAGAGACTGTCTGCTGGCATCTGCATGTGCACACATGTACACCTGCAGAAACACACATAAAAGTAAAAGAGATTTTCAATTTCAAAGAGTATAAAAGGTGCATGTGTTTGAAACTGCCCATAGTAAAAGAAGAGGGGAATGAAGGAAAGCACAGTAGGACATATTGGTGTTGGTTCATTTAACTGAAAAAAAAAAAAGAAGAAGTTCTTGATACCAAATGACTCTTGAGCATGTACTCAAATGAAACTTGTGATTACTTTAACAGCTATAGATAAGCAGCCTTTATTTTAGCAATAGAGAATCGGGAAGCGTTAATTTAGGGCTACATAAAGCAATGGCATAAACAGATCTACAATGGGCCTAAACCCAGTTTCTAATTTTACCAAAAGAGCCTCGCCTTTACTCTCTAGCTTTGTGCATCATTAGCTCTTGGTTATGTCTTTTTTTTTTTCCATTTCATGAAGGCAGCGATCACCCCAAATGGGCAGGAGTTAGGACAAAGAGAGTCCCACGCCCTCTCACCCCCTGCCCTGGCATAAGGAATGATATGAGAGAGTCCTGCCGTGCTAGCCGTGAAATCTCACAAGCCTCTGTGATGTGATTCATCAGGACAAGTAAAAGATGTCGGCCTTCCTGGACCTCGCGGCAGACACACACAAAGCTTTATCAGAGGATGACGGGAGGAGGCAGCATGAGAAGACACAATAAAGGGTACATTTAAAGATCATTTCCTAATTTCCACCCAGAGCTTAACCCTAGTTTAAAATATTTCATTGGGTCAAAGGCACTTTGTTCCCTGGGTAATAATAAATAGACCCTAATGCCGAGGACTTATTAGATTTTCTTTCTTATTCCTTCCTTTTATCTCCCATCCCCGATACTTTTCTTCCTTCTCACCCCCCGGGTTTTTATTGGGTTCTTGCTCTATTTATCCAGATTTATTGGGCTTCAGTTGAGCCATTTTATACCTCTTTATTCCTTTTGCATGGCATAAAAATAAATAAAGCAAGGAGAAATAGCCCTGTCCTGTTTAAAAGCACCTCATTCTTTCTGTTTTCAAAGCCTTAACAAATCATCCAGCAATGAGTGAGGGTTAAAGGCAAGCCCTGTGTTCTGAGATGAGAGATGGATGGATAGGGCAGGATATTAAAACGCAACCACAGATAACAGTGAGGACTTGTCTGCCACCAAGTGCTCAGAAGAGAAGACATCCCTCTAAGGAAGCCTTGGCAGGACCCATCGTTACGTCAGCACAGCCCTGCTAACGGAAAAGGGTTGGCTTTCAGAGAGCATCAGGAAGAGAGACACTTGGAAACATGGCAAGGATTGAAGCTGGATAGGGGGAAAACCACACATTCTTGTCAATGAATGTAAACGAACTCCTGTAAGGAGAGACTTTGTTGAAGAAAACAATCCTGAACATGATTTTATGCAGTAAAGCATGGTTAGGGTTACTTTGTACATTATACAGTCTCGATGTCATCCAAGCTTGGACCGCTATATAGTCTTAGCCATGAACCTTCCCATCAGTGCTCCATGTCACCAGCCACTGGTGTCACCAGCCACTGGTGTCACCAACCACTGTCAGTTATCTCAGGATTCCTGTAGCGTTGTCTGCACCTTTGAAACAAGCGTAAGAATTAACATCTCTTTGATTGACCCTAACCTGAGTGTGCCCGTTTCCCCCAGGGACTCACCCTGGGAGCAATTTCTAACACTCCATTATTCAACGATTAGTAGCCACTTACCATAAATAGCCATTTTAATTTGAATGTAAACTTAAATTGCATAATATTAGAATTTGATCCCCTTGGTGTCTCTTTGTAAAGTTTTCAAATTTTCATGTGTTTGGTGGCTGCTATACTGAACGCCATGGATATGGAACATGTTCCTGACTTCAGAAGGCCTTGCAGAATAGTGCTATGTTAAATACTTCTTTTTGGTTTCATGCAAGTGGTCCTTAAATGACAAGCCAATATACTAGAGAGCACCCAGGCAGTAAACCAAGTTGTCAATCGTCAAGCGACTCAGCCTGAGTAGGAAAAAGCTGGGATTTAATTACACCTGCTCTTTGCTTTAAAGTTCTTCCCTCTGTCCCCATCGCTGACGAAGTTCACAGCAAATCTGTCATGTTCGTGTCTAAGACCTTATAAGGACTTAATCTTGGATTTACTCATAAGAGCTAATGAGATTTCTTGATGCGTCCTTTGTTCTAGATAGCACAACCGCAACTCTGAAGTTCTGCTTATAAAAAACTCTTTCCCTTTTTGACCTCCTGTTTTTCTCCGTGGGGACATCTTTCAAGTTATATCAATTACTACATTTTAAGGAGAATGTTTGGGGATCTTCTCAGCTGATATTACTCATTGTCATCTAACACCCTTTCTTAAACTTCTTGGGCTTTTAAACCAGCATGTGGTTTAATAAACAGACTAACATAATCAATAAATCTTTATGATCTACTCTGTAATAGGCATCACACAGGGTACAGCAACACCTTCAACACCCTGTCTGCCTCAGCAGAAGACATAAACACAGACACAGCATTTGATAAAGAAAAACATCGAAGACAATCTGGAGATTGATTGGATAGCACTCTCATTAAGCCGAGGGGAAGGAAGGACTCTCAAGGAAGTGATAAAGGAACACTGAAGAATATCTGGGAGTCAGGAAAGTAAAGATAGGAGCAAAGGACATGGGGAGGGGAAGGGCAGCTTGAGCAAAGGCCGGGATCTTCAGGAATATTTGACAACTAGCATAAAAAGTGTGAAGCTTGACCTATTGGCTTGTGACACACTAAGAAATGAAATTGGTCCTACAGACAACTGAGAGTCATACAATTTAATCAAGTGAGTGAAACGGTCAGGCCATTATATCAAAGGGGCTGGAGTCTGCACAGTGGATATGAGGACATCAGAACACAGACAGAATTAGAATTAGATGGTCACGGCCAAAGGCTCTAAAAGGGATGAGATGTGTTGAAATGAATCCAGTGATGGTCAGGATAGAGGAAAACGATGAACTCAGGGCTCTGCTTGAGTAAACGAGGTGGGACAGGGGCTGACAGATGCTGGCAGGGGACAGGAAGACAGCCATCCATGCTGCTAGCGGGGATGAGGGCCTGGGTGAGGGGGCTACGAACTGAAGTGATCATTTAAAGAGGAGAACCTGGTCAGCGCAAGTATGCTCGTCTCAGTAACTAGAATCGAGTAGTTGTTTACTTGGATATATCACTCAGGAAGCCGTTTTCATCCTCCAGGTTTAGAATGGCCCTGTGTGTATTTTGATGCTCACAGCATAAACAATGTTTGCATGTGGTAAGTGTTCAAAAGTTTTAAGTTGTCAACAAATCCTATAATATTGTTGTGCTTAGTTTC